CGGCAACGACGGCGGCGACGACACCGACGACGACGCCAGCCCCACCCCGGGGCCGCCCCCCCCCCGGCCCCCAGGATCGCGCCCACGGCCCGCCCGGCCAGGGCCGCCGAGGCCTGTGACATAAGAGATCTTGTGTCACCAGCGCCCCGCGCCCCCAGCCCGCGCCCCCGGAGCCCCTCCAGCAGGGGCCGTAAGAGCGGGTGATACGAAGACCCCCGCCCCACGCCCCCCGCCGGCGAAGTCCCGGTGCCATGTCGGAAGCCGAACGCGCTATCTCGGGGGACGTCCGGGCCGCCGGGGTCACCCACCAAGGCCGCCCCGGGGCCGCACGGCCGCCCCCGGGGCCCCCGGAGCCGCCCCGGGGCCCCCCGATCACGAACCCCAGGGTTGTGATCGTGAGGCTCCCGTGCGTTCCGGGGCCCCCAGGCGCGCGCAAATCTACCACCAGGGCCGCCTTGGGGCCACCTCAGAGGTCGTCGAGGGCCTCTGCAGAATGGGTGATCCTGAACGGCATATGGGGTCCTTCGACCCACGGGCGCCCGCCTTGCCTCCGTGGTCTGGCCGCGAGCCGCGCCGCTACGGTCACCCCCGTCAGGACGTCGGCGTCCTGGGCGCAGCGCTGCGCAAGCGCTGCGGCTGGCGTGCCCTCCCAGGCTGCCCCTGCTGCGGCGTCCCGCGCTGCCTGCGCAGCGTTGCGGCACTGTGGGAGGTGCTGGACGTCAAGCTCCACGCCGTCGCACCACGGACAGGCTGCCTCCGCCGCGCCGCCCCTGCTGGAGGTGAAGCGCTCTTGGAGGCGCCACTGCGCCCAGGGCCGGATGGCGCGACAGGTCAGGCGGAACTCTGCCGCATCCGCCGCGACCCCTAGCCCTCTGTCCGGGTACCGGGTGCGCTCGGCGGCCACCCAGAGATCTTCACGCCGCTGCAGCTGTGGGTCGACCTCCTCCACGAGGTAACGCCGGATGAGCCTCTTGCGCGCCTCCCGGCCGAGCGCCTCGGGGGGCGCAGCGGCCGCCGCCTCCACCCACTCCCGGAACGGTCGCACGTTCAGGCCGCCGGCGTGGTGCTGCATGGCCGCTGTCCAGGTGGTCTGGGATTGTCCCGCAAGGCGCAGCACGCGCGGCGGGAGGGCGGACTGGGGCATGGCCTGGACCCTGGCCCAGAGACCGAACGCTTGTCGCAGCGTGGTCGTGCTGAGTCTCCACGGCGTCCCGATCTCGCGGAGGAGGCAGACCCGGGGGGCCGGTTGGGTCAAGTCCAGGAGCTCAGAGACCCATCGGTCGTAGATGGCGCCCAGGCGAGTCGCCCAGTCGCCGCGGATCACCAAGAGGGCGGCTCCGTGGCAGGCGCCCGGTTGCACGCGGGCCTGCAGTGCTGCGAGCGCCGCCGCCAGGGGGAGGCCGAGCAGCTCAATGCCCGCGAGGGTGCCGCGCCAGGCCCTCTGCGCCCGCTGCTCAACTTGCTTCAGCAGGCCAGTCATGGTCGCGTCAGGCTCTACGGGGATGCCCAAGGACGCGTGGAGGTCAACGAAGGCAATGTCATTGAGCGGCCGTCGGTCAGCGAGGCCCTGTGCCATGCACTCCGCCTGGTCCTTCCCCTTCCTCCGCCTCCTCCTCAGACACAGCATGAGGCCAAGTCGAGCAACTGACAGCAGGCTGAAAACGCGGCTCAAAACCGATCTGAGAAAGAGAGATAGAGAGAGAGAGAGAGAGAGAGAGAGAGAGAGAGAGAGAGAAAAAGAGAGAGAGAGAGAGAAAGAGAGAGAGAGAGAGAGAGAGAGAGAAAAAAAAAAGAAGAGGGAGAAGAGAAGATAATAAAGAAGAAAGAGAGAGGCTCGGGATGCCTCTGGGCTGCCCGACCGAAGTGGCGGTCGGCACCAGGCCGCGCAGAGGCGGGAAGGGGTCTTCCTCGCTCCCGCCCTCGCCCAGGGACCTCCGCCCCCCCGCCGCCAGGGTGGAAACCTGCTCGAAAGTGAAGGGGCAGGTGCTGAGCCTAGCGCAGCTCACTGTGCACCCTGGCTGTGGGGAGGCGGACCCGGAACAGCGAAGGTGCCACACAACATAATATAAGGCTGACGTAGAATAGAGGACCCAAGCTTCGCTGTTTAGGGAAAGAGAACGACGGCCTCGCTCTCTAAACTGATTGGAAGCGCACGTGGCCTAAAGTAGCCCACTCCTTTGCGACAAAATGCCGCGGGTGCGTCCCAGGTGTGTGCAGCAGCTGCCCCGGGGCAGGGGGGAGATCCTCTTTCTCCTTGTCGATAAAACACGCGCAGCCCAAACGCGCAACGCACGCACTATAATACTCGACCCCTCCTCTCCCCCACCTCCCCCAGAAAAGACGGACAAGAAGCAGCGGAAGCTCCGAGGGATAGGGGTGGGGAAGAATAGATAGGATATGGGTAACGAGGGGGGGAGCGGGAGAGGGGGGCACTGCGCTGGGCTGAAGACCGCAGCGACGTTACGACAGGACGGTGTTGTAAATACTCATGCCTGCCAATTGCATCCCTCGCTCACTGCTCAGCCCCCTTATGCAGCACCCCCCTGGGACTGAAAGCATCTGCCTTGCAGAGGTAGCTCTCGAACCTGAAGGTTTTGAACAAACCTGGAGCTTCTTCAAGACGTCAGGCTTGTCGGAGGTGGTCACGTTGGAGATGGCCACGCCGCGGGCATCGAAATCCCTGTCTGTCCCGACGCGGCGAAGATGCGAGTTATGGTCGCCAGGCGTGTCCTTGTTGATGAGAGGTCAACCGTTGAGGTGTCATAGTCGTGCTCGTAGCAGTCGCTTGCAACGACACTCTTTGGGAACTCTTGAACGTGTCATCGCCTATGTTGTGGTTCGTGTTCGGGTGCAGAACCACCGCCGGTTGAAAGCACTCCTTCGGAATACTGCCGAGCGCCTTTGCCCGATCCACTGACCGCGCGAAAACGGCAGCCAGGTCGAACTTCGCGGACTTGAAAGTTTCAAGCAGCTTCTTGTTCTTGGCACGCTTTGGGAATTCCGCAAAATAGTGCTGAAAACTATATGGATTTTAACCCATAGTCGAGCCGGAATCTTTAGTGTCGAAACGGTTGCTATCACCAGCGGCTCCGCTCTCCTCGAAGGCGACTGTCTTCTCTGCGGGAATGGCTGGCTCCAGAGTCTGGGCTCCCGCCTCCTGCTTGCCGAGGTCAGCGCCAATGTTCAAACTCGATCTCCGCCAGGCTCCACTTAAAACCACACTCTTGGGGCGGGTGTGAGATTATATCGGCACGGAGATCCAAAAAAGAGACTTGATGTCAATCAACTTCTCCGTCCAGGCTGTGGATGGCCTGATCCTCGATGGTCTTGGAAGCGCTGAACTGATCATCTGTGCCAAGGTGGGCAGCTTCAGGGTGACTATCTTCTCCTGAATGGCTGTCGGAACTAACCTGACCCCTGTGGGCCTCAAATTCCCTTCCCAGTAACAGAGAATCTCGATAATCTCCTCGGCGATGTGATTCTCGCACCTCTTGCTGCACCTGCTCTATGAAGGCCGCCACTGACGGGCCTGTGATATGCTGAACCAAATGGTACGCGCACTCGATGCGAAAGATCTTATTGTGGGTCTTACTTGGAAGGCGAAACAACTTCGAAGCCATTGCAAGACCCTGGAAATGGCGGCCAGCAGCAGACGACATGTCCCTGAGGAGACATCCATGAAGGGAATCGAAGAGCTGAACTGGGCCCGACATGCGGAGCTCCGGTTGCTGCAAGCAGAAAAACACAGAGGCGACACCTCTTGCCGAGCCTTGAGCCAAAAATGGCTACGGAGCCGCCTCCTCCTCCTCCTCCTGTCCTCCCTCCCCGTCCTCCCTCCTCGTCCCGCACACCTGCGCCGAGAGTAGCAGACGGAGGTGGCGAGGGGACGACGCCTAGCAGGAGGGGGAGCCCAGCAGGAGGGGGACGAGGCCCGACCGCTGCCGGACAATACCTGGCCACCGCTGACGTCGAAGATGGAGACTTACAGGTGCGGCCAAATTCCACCAGCCCTCCGGGCATATTTGTTTGAAGGACTTGTTAGTCCAGACTCCTTGCTCTGTTTCGAGGCTTCGGGGAGGCACTCTCCCCCTCCCCCTCCCGCCTCCGCTGGGTCTGGACAGGGGGGCCCGCGTGCCAGAGCGTCCAAGATGGCCCAAGATGGACCCAAGAGGGCCCCAGGTAGCCCAATATTGCTTCCAAGATGGCTCAAGATATCCCAACATGTCCTCCAACGTGCCTCCATGATGCTACAATACTACCCCAAGACGGCTCCCCGAGGCCATGCAGCCGTCTCAATGAGACCCCTGGGAAAGTATGTGTAGCTTCGAGCCTGTTCGCTTCCTATTGGCCTCCGAGGCCTCAGGATAACCCAACGAACGCCCAAGATGGGCCCAGAAAAGGCCCAAGACGGCCCCAAGAACGCCCACGGGCGCCCCAAGAGCTTCCCCAGAGGGCTCCAACAGACGACTGAATGTGTTCCAACAAGACGGTGTTACTCGGCGTTGCCCTTTTTTGCTCGATGATTTCGGAGATGGCCGCAAGAGGGCCGAAAAGGACCCCAATTGTTCCCAAAACGGCCCCACGACAGCTCTCCAGGCTCCAAGATGCCTCCAGGAGGCTCCAGGATGTCTCCACGTTGATCAGTTCAACCCTCTCTGTTTTACAATCAGCTTATTATCTCCCTTCTCCCGACAGCTCGCCCGGGCATCGTTTCCGTACGGACTGCTGGGGATGTGCAAAAAACGTAGAGATTTCCCGAATGCGGGATTTCTGCACAACGAAGGCTCGATTCAGGCAACACTGTGTCCGACGTCCTGGGCGGGGGAGGGGAGGGAGGAGGGAGTCCGGGAGGGGAAGGAGGAAGGCAGGCGCAAGGACGGAACGGGCGGGGAGGAACGGGGCCGGGAGGGAGGGATGGTGAGAGGGAGGCACCCGTGCGCGTCCCGACTCGGTCCGACCCAGCCCGTCCCGCAGAGGTCCTGAGAGAGAAGTGGGTCTTTCTCCAAGGCGAGCGTGGTGGGGGCGGGAGGTCGGGGGCAAAGGATGCACGAAGAGAGCATCGAAGCGAGAGCCTCTCGATTGTACCTAGGCTTGCGGCGTCCCCTAACCGAGCGTAGCCTGCGATGTCGCTGCGTGATGATCGAACCGCTGTAGCTGATGACGTTCGCCTGCAACGGCATATCCCGCATCTCGGTGAGCAGCGAGATGATTCGCTGACTGCGACCGCTCGTCTGCCTCGGCCGTGCTGATCTGGGCCTAGTCTGCGATACCGCTTCTGCGCAGCAAAACGCCGATCGGAAGGCTGCAGCTTGTTGCGTGCGGATCCAACTTCGTCTCCCGAATTCGCTGAGCAGCGACAAGCCTTGCTGCCATTGTTTTCCTTTCTCAGACGCGCAGGTCCCAGCGTCGAACAAAAAAACAGCGTCGAAGCTGATGGCACTGGACTAAAACTTCGCCTCCAACATCTCGCCGAGTGACACCAACGCCCGCTGCTACTTCAGTGGGGGCTTCGCGTCGCATGTTGTCCAACAATGTGTGTGAGAAGACTCCGCTGAGACCTCAAACCGTCTCTCAACTCGCCCAGCAACGACACCAGCTGCAACGCTTGCCTGCTTCCATCGCACGCGCAGATCCCAGCTTGGTAGTTGAGTAGGGGAATCCCAACAGGAAATCCACAACAAACAGATGGCTCACGCATGTTCGAGGCCGTCTTGGAGTGGCCTCTTCTTGCCCGTGCTGATTGTTGCTGCTGCTTGCTGCTTACCGCGTGCTGGAGCAGCTTGCTGCAGCTGGCTGCTCCTGCTGCTTGCTGCTGCCTACTCTCCTGCTCCGCTGGCCTTGCTGCTGCTGGCTCTGCCGCTACTTTTGCTGCTCTGGCTGGAGTGCCTCGTGATACGGGCGGAATCTCTCGGAGCCTCGCGGGTCGTCTTGGGTCCCCCATGGGGCCTGCACGCCCGGTTCGTTGGCGGCAACCTTCGGGCCGGAGATGCGCCGCCCTGGCGCTCTCTTGAAGCCCCTTCTTGCGTTGGGCCCTCGTCATAAGCTCTCGATCGCCCTCTTCAAGCCGTCTTGGGATTCCTAGGGGCCTCGCACGGCCCTTCTGGGAGGTTCAGGGGGGTTCAGCCAAGCCGTGGGACTATCACAGGGCTGCCTGGAGCCATCTCGGAGCCGCGTGAGGGGGGACCATCGTGGAGGGCAGCCAGGGGCCAGTTGGGACATCTAAGGAGCGCGTGGGGCTCTCGTGAAAGCTCTTGCGGGCGTCGTGGGCCACTCTGAAAGCCCATGGGGCCCTTCTGAGAGCTGCCTGGAGCGCAGAGCTGGAGAGTATGCAGGATGCCGATGGGAAGCCGCAGACTTTTGCCTCTTCAGGGTCCAAGGCAAGGCAATTGTGGGCGGTCTGGGGGCCCTCGTGGCGGTACAGCGAGGCGGCTTGGGGCGTCTGGGGCCATCAACCTGGCCTGTGAGGTGAACGGGGCCCTCGGCGGCTGACTGAAGGGCCTTTGGGCGGCCCTGTGGCGTGTCTGGGATTGCCCGGGCGACTTTTGGCCAGTTGGGCGAGCGCCCTTTCGTACGTGGTGGCACTGGCATTGTAAGTGAGACTAGGGCTGGCATTTGGACCACATTGACGGCAGGCCGCCTAATCTGACAGGAGTTCTCCTGGCAGCCACGAAAGCTTACTCGCATGCAAGGTTTATGATTGCTTGTCTGCCTGGCTTCTGGTCTGCCCTCCTGTTAACGACGTTGCTAGCCTGGTGGCCAGCCGTTTGCCGCTGCTTGTTGTTGCTTGCCGCTGCTTGCTGCTGGTTACTCCGATTGTTGCTCATTGCCATCCTTGTCAAGTAGTTGCTGGTGCGTGCTGCCTCCTACTACCACTCGGTGCTGCTACTTGCTGCTAAATGATGCTGTTTGGTTGCTGATGCGTGCTGTTGCGCTGCTGCTGCTGCTGCTGCTTCTGCTGCTTCTGGGTGCTGCTATTCATGCTCGCCGCTGCCGCTTGCTGGTGCTTCTTGTTACTGCTTGGTGCTGATGCTTCTGCTTACTGCGTAAGACTTGCTGGTGAGCCATGGTGCTAGTGTATGCTAATGCTGCCTGCTGCATGCTGCTGCTTTGCTGGTGCTGTTAGCTGTTGTTTGCTGCTCATGTTGGTGCTTGCTAGTGCTGGGGTTTCTGGGGGACCTCTTGATGCTCTCTCGAGCGATCTTTGGAGCCTTGAGGGCAACGCGGACCATCTATCACTGATTAACCTCATGAGGCTCTCTGGAATGAGATTGTGATCAGCTTGGATTCCTGCAGCCCCAGGGAGAGAAACTAGCAGAGATATCACGGGGCCAACCTCTGGGCCAAAGGAGGGCTATCTGGTGATGTAGGATGCCCTTGGCCGGCTCTTGTGTGGCCTCCGTGCCACCTGGGAATTCCTGTGCCTCGCGGGTCCCTTCTGGGAGGCCTGGGTGCTTTGTGGAAGGATCTCGGGGACACTCTAATGCCGCCTTGGAGTCGTCTTATAGACTAGTCTTGGCCACTGCATAATGCTGCCTGGTGAGACGTGGCGCTTCTTGTGTTGCTGCTGCTTGGTGCTGGTTGATCCTGCGTGCCTGTCACTGCGTGCGTGCTGCTGCTCGCTTTCGCTGGTGCGTGCTCTTGCTGTTGCTTGCCGTTATTTGTTTGCTGCTGCTGCTGCTGCGTGTGACTGCAGGGTAATGCTGACTGCCAGTTCTGCTTTCTCTGTGCTGCTGCATGGTGCTGGAGCCTGCTGCCTGCTGGTGCTTGCTGATGCTGCGTGCTGCCGCTGTTGCTGTTTGCTCTGTGCTGCTGCCGATGTTCGCTGGTGCTGCTTGAAGGCTGCAGGGTGATGCTTCTCTCTCGCTGGACTTCTGCTGGCTGACGCAACCTGCTGCTCGCGATCGGATCGGGGGGCGGAGAGGAAAGAGCCAGTGTGAGGGGGGAGGGAGAGAGGGAACAGCGGGCGATAAGGGAGGAGCGACGGCCGGAGCGAGAGGGTCCACGAGGGCGGACAAAGAACCGAGGAGAGGGCGAGTTGCCGGGACGGACGAGGCCAGGAAGGAGGCATGCATGCAGCGAGGAGGAGCGGGAAGGGAGGAGCACAGAGCGAGGCGAGTGTGGCGACGAGCGGGGAACAGAGGACGGGGAGCGTGAAGTGCGGAGCAGGGCACGGAGAAGCAAGGAGGGAGGCTCGAGGCGCGACCCGCACATAGCCTCGACGCGCGTGCGGTCCACACCTTTGTCCCTCTTGGGTTGCTCATGGGGCCCTCTCGAGGCCAACTTTGGGGCCTCTTCAGCTCCCCTGGGGGCCGCTCGAGGAGCGGCCGACGCACGAGTCTCCCGGAGGGCTCGGCGCGAGGGGGCCGAACACTCCGTCTCCTCTTGCGTCGCTCTCGAGGCCAACTTGGGGCCTCTGCGGAGCCTTGATCCCCTGGGGCTCTCCCGGGCCTCCTGAGGCCATCTGGGCGTGCCTCCCGGCTTTGGGGGCTCCGAGGCGGTCCGCAGAGGTGGGGGGTGACTTGAGCCATCTCGGGGCGGCATCGGGCCGTCTTTGGGATGTCTTGGGGCCATCTTGGAGGTCGGCTGGGCCTGGACTCATATTGGGCTATCTTGGGGGCGTCTTGGGCCCTCCTGGGAGCTCTTGTGACCCCTGGGCCATCTTAGAAGCATCTGGGATACTTCTTGGAGCCACCTGGAGCTGAACAACAAAACAGGAGTATCGAAGACACGTTCAACAAACTATACGCTTTCTTCGTCTTTCTGAGACGCTGCACCTGGACCTGGCTCTCAAGGTGGCGCATTTTGTCCGAACCACCCTCGCCACCTATGAGCAGCGAGCAATGATGACCCGCGCCTCCGCCTCTTATGGCCCCTGCGCGGGGCCATCTTGGAGGCTGTTGGGGCCACCTCGGCGCCATCTGGTGGCGTCCTGTTGGGTCCAGGGAGCATCTCGGAGGCCTGGTTGGCGGTCGTGGGCGCTTTTGGGAGGACCGCTTGGGCCGCATAGGCCTCGCAGAGGGCTGCTTGGGGTGGTTTTGGGGCATCCCGGTGCCCGCCCTTCTGGCAAGCGGTATCGCCGGCATTATAGCAGAGAGGACGTTGGGCTCGAGTTTTGACTCGCTCATCTCGCTGATCAGCGCGAAACCCCAGTGCCATTGCTGCCCCGCTGCGCACGCTTCTATCCCTGAGCTGTAGCTGATGAAATCGGGCTCCGCCTCTCGCATCTCGTTGATCAGCACCACAGCCCGCTGCCACTGTTTGCCCTTCTCGCACGCGCTGATCCCAGCGTTGTAGCTGACTAGGGCTGACCCGTGGACTCCTTCCACGATGTCTTTCTGGCGGAGATTTTGTCGAATACCTATACGCACTACGGCGGCCGGGGCGGTGGCAGCGAGACCGCACCTTCGTGTCCGAGCTCTTGAAGGGCTCCAGCAGCTTGGCCCTGGTGCACGGCTCGTTCGCCCCCCTCATATTGAGGGCAATTTTGAAGTCTTTCGGGGATGTGCGTCAAGGTGGAAGCCCATCTAGGGCGTCTCAGAAGCGCCCGGGAAAGGGCTCGGGAGGCCCCCGGGGAAAGCCACTGGGAGCGCCTGGGAGGCTCGGAAGGATCTCCAGGGGGGGCCCAAGAGAGCTTCAAGAGGGTGTGACATTCAATCAGATCTTACAAGAAACCGCTGTTGGGTCTGACGTGCTCCGCTACGCTGGAGAGGCCGTTTTGTTGGAGTTCTGTGGGAAGCGAAGCTCTCTCGGGCGTGTCAGGAGCGCCGGTCCCCCTCTCTTGGATGCAGCCCCTACTGGCCTCTTGAAGGGCTGAGGGCCTCTCAGGTCCTCGCGCCTCCGCCTCCTCCTCCTCCTCCTCCTCCTCCTCCTCCTCCGCCTTCTTGCCTCGATGCTGCATGCCCTGGATCTTGGACAGTCAATCGTAGACCCTCGGAGCATCGACAACGGCCGTTGGGGCCTGCGTTCTGCCTCTCACCTCTCGTCCGCCCCCCCTCGGGAATTCTGTAGCCACTTAGGGCCTCTTGGGGGCCGTGTGGGGGGCCTTTTGGGGCTTCTTTTCGGCTTCGAGGGGCCTCTTGGGGCCCTCTCGGGCTCTGGTCGGTGCCGTTTGGGCAATCTCGGAACCGTCTTGGACCGTCTTGAGCGCCTCTTGGGCCGTCTTGGGGCCGTCTTGGGGGCCCATTGGGCCATGTTCGGGCCATCTTGGGTCGTCTTGGGACGTCTTTGGGGCTGCCTTGGGTGCCTCTTGGGCCGCCTTGGGCGCCTCTTGGGCCCGTCTTGGGACCCTGATGAGGGCATCGCGGGACGATCGTGGAGGGCTCTGTGGCCGTCGTGGACGCGTTGGAGCCGAAAAAACACGATAATGTCAAACATGTCAGTTTTCCGACGGGAACGGGGAGTAGGTTGTCGAGCGAGGCTGGTGGGGATACTTTTTTGATCTGACTCAATCGGACGGGCTCGCGCTGCGTCCCGCGTTAGAACTGCTATGATGGTGGGCCGCAGCTTCGCCTCCCACATTTCGTGAAGCAGCCCTAGCGCCCGCTGCCACTGACCGCCCTTCTCGCACGAGCTGATCCCAGCATTGTAGGTGACTAGGGCTGACCCGTGGACTCCGTCCACGACATCTTTCTGGAATGGTTCTCGGAGGAACGGCGCAGATTGTACCGAAAATCTAAAAACACGGCGGCGGCTCGGGCGGCGGCAGCGAGACCGCGCCTTCGTGTCTGAGCTCTTGCAGCGCTCCAGCAGCTTGGCCCAGCGCACTGCTCGTTCACCCCCCTCCTATTGATGGCAGTTTCGAAGTCTTTCGGGGATGTGCGTCGAAGTCGAAGCCCATCTGAGGCGTCTCAGGAGTGGCCGGGGAAGGGCTCGGGAGGCCATCGGGGAAAACCACCGAAAGCGCCAGGGAGGCTCGCAAGGATCTACAGGGAGGGCCAACGAGAGCTTCAATATTCTGTAAAAAAATTAGAGAAACCGCTGCTGGGTCAGCCATCACCTCCGGGCACGCCTTGATGGTGCAATCCAGTCGCATCACCGCCAACGGGAGGGTTTGTTCGCCGTGTCCCATTCTGTTCGCCCAGAGGGTCTGTGGAGGCCTTCGGGCGAACAGAACGGGACAGGGCAAGGAATGGGGAAGACTTGTCCGAATCTCCTGGGCCCCCCCAGGTGCTCGTCCGAAGAATGCGGAGATGTCCCTGGGTCATATCAATTGGCTGCTGTCCAAGGGGTCCGGTCTGGTTGGCCCGAAGAGTTTGCCAAGGTCCCTGGGGGAACAGAATGGCACAGCATATCGGGCAAAGGCGGGCGGTAGCTGGCCTGTCAGACCCGGCGTTCGTCTTCTGCCCAAGCGGCGCGGGGCCCACGGGCCCCAGCGTTGGCGGCCCGCTGGGTTTCCTTTTGTTCGCCCACAGGGTTGAAGGAGGCCTCCAGGCGAACATAATGGGGCAGGACAATGAATGTGGGAGACTTGTCGCAAGCTCCCAGCCCCCCCAAGTGTTCGCCCGAAGGGTGTGGGGCCGCGTTGGCTCCCTCAAAGGGCCGTCGGCAATCGTCGATCCTACGACGACTCCCCAACAGAGAAACATCGAAGGCCCTCGGAGCGTCCAACATTGTTCTTTTGTGCCTTCGATATGCCGGTCGCCTCTCGTCCGCTCCCCCCCTCCTGGAAGCAATTCTCATGCCACTTAGGGCTTCTCGGCCGTTTGGGGATCTCTTGGGGCGTTTTTGCCTGCGATATGCCTGTCGCCTCTCGTCCGATCCCCCGCTCCTGAAAGGAATTCTGAAGCCACTGATGGCTTCGTGGGGGCCGTTTCGGAGCCTCTTCGGCCTTCTTTTGGGCCTCCCGGGGGAGCTCTTAGGGCCCTCTCGGGCCGTCTTGGGTGCCTCTTGGGCCGTCTTGGGGCCGTCTGAGGCCCGCCTCGGCGCCTCTTGGGCTGTCTTGGGCCGTCTTGGGCCGCTCCTGGGGCCGTCTTGGGTGCCTCTTGGGCCGTCTGGGGCGCCTCCTGGGCCGTCCTGGGGCCGTCCTGGGGCTTCTTGGGGCCGTCTTGGGGCCCTCCTGGCCCGTCTTGGGGCTCTCTTGGGGTCCTCTTCGGCCGTGTTGGAACGGTCGGGGGGACTTCTTGGGCCGTCTTGGAGCGTCGGGAAGCCGAAAAGGCGAGGAGGCCGAAAACATCGGAAAACACGGTAGAAATCGACGATTTCTGTCGCTCGGGGCCCTCTTGGGAGGCCTCTTGGGAGGCCTCTTCGGGCGTCTTGGACGCCTCTTGGGCCGTCTGGGGAGAATCTCGGGCGTCTTGGGCCCATCTTTAAGCGTGTCAGGGCTCTCCGGGGCCGTCTTGGGGGCTTCTGGGGGCCCTCTCGACATGTCCTGGAGCCTGCCTGGGCGGCCCGGGGCGGCCCGGGGCCAGCCCGGGGCGGTTTTGAGACATTGGAGCCTGGGCCCTTCTGGCACGCACTGGGCCCTGCAATGTAGTAGAGACTAAGGCTGACCCGTGGATTCCGACCACGACATCCTTCTGTAATGGTTTTAAGAGGAACGGCGGAGATTCTGCCGAAAACCCATCAGCACGGCGGCGGCCAGGGCGACGGCAGCGAGACCGCGCCTTCGTGTCCGAGCTCTAGCAGCGCTCCAGCAGCATGGCCGTCGCGGGGCCGCCGTCGTCGCCGTCATCGTCGGCGTCGTTGCCGTCGCCGTCGCGAGGCCGCCGTCGTACCCGTCGTAGTCGGCGTCGTTGTCGTGGTGGTGGTTGTGGTCGTGGTCGTGGTCGTGGTCGTGGTCGTGGTCGTCGTCGTCGTTGGTTGTGGGCACCGAAGGACTGACCCGTGGACTCCGTCCACGAAATCTGCACGAACTGGCATCTGATGGAGGGGGCCGACCTCGCACTCCGCGCATGCTACTGCGTGCTGCTGCTTGCTGTCGCTTTTGCGTACTATTGGTAGTGCTTGAGGCCGCTGCTGCTTGTTCTTGCTGCTTATGGCTGCAGATTGTTGCTGATGGCCAGTTCCCTTCTACCCGCTGTCTGCCGCTGCTTGCTGCTGCTGCTGCTGTGTGCCGCCGCTGCTGCTGCTGCCTGCTTCGTGCCCACGGAAGAGACCGATGCTGCCCCAAGGCGCTCGGAATGTCGCACGGTGGACTGTGCATGGGCATGGGGGCTCACTGTGGACGCGCAGGGAGCCACGTACTTTGGGGCGCCGTCTCCGCGCCCCTCTGAGATCAGACTGTGTTGGGAACTGTGCTCCCTGGAGGCCTCTAGTGTATCTCGCCTCACTTGGGCGGCAGCGGCGAAGGGCGCCCTGGAGCTGGGAGGCAATAGTAAAGGGAAGTAGCGTCCATGTGTCTGTCCATTGGTCGGCGATCTTTCGCTCGCGCCCGCACCCACGGAGGAGGGCAAGGCTCCCTATTCGGCCACTGATGGTGGGCGCTTCCTTCTCCTTGGGAACCGTTTGGGGGCCTCTCGTGGTTTCTTCTCAGCCTTCTAGGGCTTTTTGGGGGCCCCTTTGGACTGTCCTGCGGCCTCCTGGGGGCCTCTTGGGGCCCTCTTGGGTACCCCTTGGGCTGTCTTGAGGCCGTCTGAGGCCGTCTTGGATGCCTCTGGGGCCGGCTTGGGACCGTCTTGGGACCGTCTTGAGCCGTCTTTGGCCGCTCTTGGGGCTGCCTTTGGTGAATCTTGCGCCGTCGTGGACGCCTCAGGAGCGGTCCTGGGGCCGTCTTGGGCCGTCCTAGGGCCGTCTTGGGCCGTCTTGGGGCCCTCATGGGGCGCTCCTGAAGCGTCCTGGGGCGGTCTTGGGGGCGTGAATTGTTCTCTTGGACGCTTTGAAGACGAAAAGCGTGGGAATTGCGAAAATTTGCTCCCGCTAAGGATTGGGGCGATTTTTGCTAGTGCGGGCACTCTCGGGGCTTTTCTTGGAGCCCACTTGGAGCGTTTTGGGAGCCTCTTGGGCCATCTGGTGGCTATCTTGGGCGTCTGCGAGCGCTTTTGGGTGTGGGGCCGCTCTTGGGGGGCCCCGGGGTCGTCTCGGGGCCGTCTGGGGGCCCTCTGTTGGGCCCCCAGGTCGCCAGCGCGCCTCCAGGGTAGCTCCACAATGACCGCCCGCCGGCCTAGAGTCGGCGGGAACGATTCTGGGCCACTGCGCCGCCGGCCCAGAATCGGCGGGACCGATTCAGGGCCACCGCGCCGCCGGCCCAGAATCCCGCCCGACGCGCCCTGGACGGCAGCGCGCGCTTCTGGGGTCGGCCGAGGCGGTTCTGGGCCACCAGACGAGCGAAACACGCCATGGCCCCAAGAGGCCGCGGAGAGGGCTCCAGACCAACAAAAAGGCTAGGAATTTCGGGCCACATCCGGCAGGGAGCGCCAAACAAGCATCAGAGCCCCATGGTGCGCTGGGAGCCGTTTTGGGACCGTTTGTTGCCGTCTTAGACTATCTTTGGCTGCTGTTGATGCTGCCTTCGGTGCTTCGTGGGCCTTGATCTTGGGGCCTCTGGGGGTCGCTTAGGAGCCTCTCAGCGCTTCTTTTCGGTCTCATGGAAACCTCCTGGGATCCTCTTGGGCTGTCTCGGGTGCCTCTTGGGCCGTGTGGTGGCGATCCGGGACCGAATGGGGGCTGCCTGGGGCCGTCTTGGGCGTCTCTGGAGCAGTCTGGGCACCGCGGATGGGTCGTCTAGGGCCGTCCTGGGCCGCTCTTGAGGCTGTCTTGGGTACCTTGTGGGCCGCCAGGGGCGCCTCAGGAGCCGTCCTGGGGCCATCTTAGGCCTGTGCACGGCTGTCTTGGACGCTATGAAGCGGGCAAGGGCAAGCCCAGGAACTGCCAAAATGTATGGTTTTCTCAAGGGATGGGGCGATTTTTCGGCGTTCGGGCTCTCTTGGGGCTCGTCGTGGAGCCCACGTGGAGTGTTTTGGAAGCCTCTTGGGCCGTCAAAAGGCTGTCTGAAGCGTCGTCGGGGCCGTCTGGGGGTTGCCTGGGGCCGCCTTGGGCGTCTCTGGAGCAGTCTGGGCACCGTCTGGGGGTCGTCTTGGGCCGTCCTGGGCTGCCCTAGAGGCTGTCTTGGGTACCCTGTGGGCCGCCAGGGGCGCCTCATGAATTGTCCTGGGGCCATCTTGGGACCCTGTACTGCCGTCTTGGACGCTATGAAGCGGGCAAGCCCAGGAACTGCCAAAATGTACGTTTTTCCATGGGAATTGGGGGATGTTTCTGTGTTCGGGCTCTCTTGGGGCTCGTCGTGGAGCCCACTTGGAGCGTTTTGGAAGCCTCTTGAGCCGTCTGAAGGCCGTCTGAGGCGTTGTAGGGGCTGTCTGGGGGTTGCCAGGGACTGACTTGGGCGTCTCTGGAGCAGTCTGGGCTGGGCACCGTCTGGGGGTCGTCTTGGGCCAGGGGCGCCTCAGGAGCCGTCCTGGGGCCATCTTGGGCCCCTGCACGGCCGCCTTGGACGCTATGAAGAGGGCACCCAGGAACTGCCACAATGTCTGTTTTCCCTTAACGGAATGCGGGGATTTTTCGGTGTTCGGGCTCTCTTGGGGCTCGTCTTGGAGCCCACGTGGAGCGTTTTGGAAGCCTCTTGGGCCGTCTGAAGGCCGTCTGAGGCGTTGTCGAGGGG